GACATCAGACCTTGAATTAATCCAGCCATAGTAAGCTACGGAAAGTTTCCTGATACATTATATCTTTGATTTTTTTTTTCTTTGTTTCTAACAGATTGCTCCCTCTGTCTGAAACACTCTTATTCTACCATTCTTTGACTAGAGAAAGCTTAATTCTCAACTTAAATGTCAATTCCATCAGAAAACTTTCCATGATTCTCTAATTAAGATGTCCTGTTTTGTCCTCCCATTGCACTAAGCACAATCATCATATATTGCAACAGTTCAAAATGCTCTTTTTTTAAAAAAGATTTATTCATTTATGCATACAAGAGCTGGGGTACAGGCCAGAGGTGCAGGGAGTGTGAGGATTCACCAGAGACAGAGTGGGGAGCAGAACAGGCAGACTGACTGAAATACCCTGCTGAGGGGAGCAGTGGGTGAGACAGAAAAGGTCTGCAGTGACATGTGGGTTAGCTCCCTGGCTGAGGATCCAACTCATGCTGCAGTGGCTTCAAATTGCTTCATAGTGCTAAGACTTAACCCCTTGCACCACCAGTGAAGCCCTCAATATGCTCTTTTTTTTGCCAAAATTGTCTGGGTCTTTCTACTAAATTGTGAGCTCACTGAAAGCAAGACATTCATCTCCATTCTACACTGTGTGGCACATTTAAGGAGTTGTTAAATAATTTCTGAAAGGAAGGAAGAGGGAGGGAAAGAACTGAGGAAGAAGATAGGAAAGGAAGAGAAGAGGGAAAGAAGAAGTTGTCAGAGAGGGAGCCAGGGTGAGGGAGGGAGGTGGGAAAGAAGAGGGGGCAGGGTAGGGAAGGAAGAAAAGGAGAACATACATACAAGCAAAGGATATTGACAAAGCATTTGTAATAAAGTCACTATTTTTATGGGATCTAAGCCAGTGATATTCAAAACAAGAATGGTACCTCTGCAAGTCCCTCTCTCCAGATTCTAAGTATGACCATCAAATCACTCATCTGCTAAAGATTTTGAAACATCTAGCCTATCCCAACCCATTTCACTTGAAAATTTACTGTAATGCAATAAGAGATGTTCGTGAGTGCATAATACATAAGCAGGAAAAAAGTTTTAATTAGAAAAAAGGAAGAAAATGAAAATGATGTAAGTTTTGGAATTATTTATAAACTTTAATAATCTATCATTTTCTGATAGTGTGCTATCATTAACACTGAAAGGTCTATCAAAAGGATGAAAAAGAAAGTCCAACATAACAAAAACGCGAAATTGCTTTATGTTACAGTCATATTTGTCAAAAACACAGTGGGAAAAAATTACCACAAGAAAGGGTATACTAATCAGTATAGGAGCATTACTTATATGAAGGAATCCTTGAAGGGAGTACTACTGAAAAATTGCTTCTAAAACATGTAACACTTAATAGGATACAAATCTTTTTATTTTAGGACTTTAAAACAATAACCAAAAGAACATTACTAAACACTTTTTCATTTCCCTCGATACTGTTTCACTTAAAATTTAAATTATTTTTGTGCAAACAGAAGAGATAATAAAAACTTAAAAGCTTGCTTCAAAGTACATGTTTTTTAAGATCCAATAAACAACATAAATCCTTGTGTCAGCTGTACAATATAAAAAACAGAATATAAGAAAAAAATTTAAGTCAAATATATTAAATACTTTTTGAATTGCAATTTTTAAAATTTCTTTGAATTTTTTAATTTTAAGAAAAAAATCCTTAGGTAAGAAATTAAGATGTAAGAAATAAGCTAAGTTTTTCTTTTGAGCACTAGTAATTACCAGCAGGTTCTCAAAGACCTGCTATACTTAACTACAGCAGGAAGTTTTTCTTGTATAAAATTAGAAATTTATCTTAATAACTCTTTCCTTTTCACATTACTAGTACCTTTTTGAAAGGCAGTAATAATGGAAATCCTAAGCACTCAAAATTAGTAGCTCTCAAATGATATAAAAAAATTTACATGTGCCTAGTACTATGAAAGTTTTAAGGCTAAAGTCTCCAAGGTACTTTCATTTTTAAACAGAAAAGGGGAAGGAAATGAAAGAAATAAAAGGGGAAAAAAGAAAATTTAAATCTAAAACCCTTTACTTTCTATATTTTTTTTAAGATTTATTTATGCATACAAGAGCTGGTACTTTATTTCTTTTAACCAAACATTAAAAGTTTACGATGTGCCATGCACTATGCTGTGATGACAGATTACATTTATCCCAACCCCTAGATTATGTAACTTCTGAACTTATTCTGTATTATACAACCCAACACTTTTTGTAATTCTCATCTGGTCCCAACATTTTCCCTAATAAAATCACCTGTCACTCTTTTACAGAGGTCACAGGAATTGTAGTTAGCATCTGTGACTAACAAAAAGTGATTAATTTCTGAACCATCACTGATTATTTTTCATTTATATGAGAATGAGAGAGGAACTCAGCAGTTATAAAGTGTTTCAGGTGGGAGTTTACTGCACCCCAAACTCAAGAAGAAAAATCCTGTAAAAACAGAACTCACTTTGTATAGCTAACACTTAAGTAGCCAGTTTTCACTTTCTTTCATAAACACAAGCATGATCAATTTTAATTTGAATGCAGTACCACAAAGGCAGGGTTAATTTTGAAGAGACACACAAAAAATTTTTAATAGTTCAAACGAACTGGCCAAAAGTAGATGACATTCACATTTTAGCATTCTATCTGTTGCACTCTATACTTGTGAACACACACTACTGTTTTCAAGTACTTCTGAATTTGCATGGATGAAAAATATCTGCTGTCTCGTAAGTTCCACCAATAGATCCACACATTTCATATATCTGAGGTCTAGAGTGTATTAAAATAAAATGACAGCATTCAATTACATATTCTCTAAAGTGAAAAAAGTGTACTTTTTTCTTCCAACAATTAAGCATATAGTATTTTTACATATATTATACTTAAGAGGAACCTGGGCATCCTTTTTTTACATTGGCTTTTATCACAGTGCAATACAGCATCTGACAATTTACAGACCAAATGGATCAATAAAGGAAAGCAAACCACATAACCCTAAATCCCTCGAAATGCAAGGAACAAGTGCTCTGAGCTATGTAAAGATCTTTAAAATTCTTTCAATTAATATTACTTCCGTGGCTTATCACATAGGGCTTCTGCTAAAAATTCACAGTACTGGTCACACAATAAATGAGATTTTCTTTCACCAGTGTAACCGATAGAACCACAACACAGTTCAGTTCCTAGAGTCAGATTACTTGACCTGCTTTTTCTGGTTTACCTTTTAAAACATGTAGTTATTCCTTAGCATTTTCCCTGCAAAAAAGAGACGGCATTCTAGCTGAGAGAATCATCCTCAGTGAGGTAGCCTAGAACTGGCTCCAACTCCGCAGCAAAACCCATAGATACCACACCAGCTGACCCCCATCATCTCCTGGAGAAGGGCTCGGGCACCCAGCCGCCAAACACACCTTTCTCAGCAAAACTCGAAGGCCCCACACACGACCTCAACCAACCCCCTGCACTTCCTGTATTCTAGATCCCCTGACGCTCTTTTTCTGCAGGCAATCTTACCTTCATGATTCTGGGACCGCGATCCCCTGGAAACCACCCGATTCACCTGCACCTAAAGAGGAAACAAAAGACACCCAGTCAACATCGCAGTCACCCCTCTGCACTGACCAAGGCGAAGGGGAACGGGGGAAGCCTGAACCCCGAAAACAGAGCCGTCCATGGACGGGTGTCAGCCGCTGAACCCCGAAAAGCCAATTCGGGGCTCCCTTTGGCCTCGCCAGCCCCGCAAACCCAGCCACCTACACAGCTCGGCAGCTTCCCGTCCCCATTGTCGGGACCCGACGGAGTTTTCCGTCTCCGACGATGACGCCATTTCTGTCAGAGAAGAAACTCACAACAAGCTCGGGGTCCGGCGCGGGGCCGGCTGCCTCCCCCACAGGCCTCCGCGCCCGGCCGAGGCGCGACCCGAAGGGCCGCGCAGCCCCCCGTCCGAGAGGGACCCGGCCGGGGCCCGAGCAGCCAGGCGGGGGCCGCGGAGGGATCGCCAGGGCCAGAGGGCCGCGGCCAGGGCTGCCCGGCGCAGAGCCTCTGCCCACGTCCCGTTCCGAGCCCGGGGCCCGACAAGTGGGAGCGGGAGCGACATCTGCCCGGCACCGGGGCGCGAGCGGACCGAGGGGTCGGGGAGCGGCAGAGCCCCCTCCCCCCGCGCTGGCCCCGGTCCCCCACCGCGGCCCAGGGCCGCTGAGGCGCTGAGTGTGCGGCCGCCCGGCTGGGGGGCGACTGGGACTTGGAAACGGAGGGGGTGAGGGGTGGAGGCTCGCGAGAGGCCCAGGCCCCGAATTCGGGCACTCGGAGACACCCCCGTGGCGAGCTCTCCCTGCGACTCTGCCGGGCCCGGTGACTCCCGAAAGGGCTCCCTGACCAGACCCCGAAAGCCTCAGAAAATGCCCCTACCTTCCTCGGAGGCGAGCTCTGACCCTGGCGCGTCCAGAGTCCCCTCCCCTACTCCCCCCCAAAACCAGCAGGCCAGGGGGAGAGATGGGGGAAGAAGGGCGGCGGGTCCAGCGGTTGCTGAGGCTGAAGCTCCGGCTCCTCCTCCTCCCGCGGCGGCGACTGGTACCTTTGTTTGGCGGCCGCTCGGGCTCCCTCGCTGGGGGGAGGGGGGGACGAAGAAAAATCCCTCCCGGACTGGAGGTCCAGGCCCCCCAATCGCGCTGCCCTCCCGAGGACGACGGCGACAGACCCTCTGCAGCTCCCTCCGGGCAAAGGTCCAGACACGGTGGCCGTGGCGGCTGCAAGCAGGAGCTGGAGAGTCTCCCTCCGCTCTGGCGCCCGAGCTCCTCACTCCGGACTCGACTGACGGGCAAACATCGCTTCCCCCCCCACCCTCCCCTAGTTCCCCCTCTCCCCTCCTTTCTCCCCTCCCCTAGATTTCTTTTCTCCTCCCCTACCTCTTTCCCGGATGGCCTCCTAGACGACCTCCGATTGGTTAGGATTCTCCAGAACCCGCCCACACTCTGTTTTTATTGGTCCCCGGACACAAACAACGACGCCATTTTCCCACCAGTTCTATGGAAACAGAAAATTACGCCGCAATGCTTCCCGGGAAATGTAGTCCATCCTCTGGGGCCAATGCGCAAGCCCTCGGCTGGGAGAACTGCAAGACCCGCAATGCCCCGCGCCTGCGTGGACGGGAGAGGGGGGAGGGAGTGAAGGCGGGGCGACAAAGCAGTGGGGAGGTGACAAAGACGCCTGCGCAGTGTGACCGGGATGGCGCATTTTCTTGCACCGAGTAATGCGGTGTCGCTGGCGGCTGAAAAGGGTGGAGAGTTCTGTGGAGACGAAGGGGGTGAGATTAATGTAGGCAACCGACAGAGCCTGGTTCTGAACTACAAAGTAGGAAGTTGACGCTGGGTCTTCCTGCCCCCGGACCGCTGGCGTGAAAGCTGTGAGATCATCGTGAAACCGTGAGTGGCTGTGGTGGCGGCTGGGGAAACCCGGATGGGGCGGCGGGCGGGGGAGGCTGGGAGGCGGGGCCGAGAGGGAAGAAAGAAAGGAGGGTAAGGACCCGGATGCTGAACCGGATTGGGTATGAATTTTCCGACCTCCGGCTGGAGAAGGGGCGGAGCTGTAGGTGATCGAGGAAGCGGAAGGGGGCCGTCTGCGCGGAAAGCAGGCTGGGACCTTGCAGACCTTGCGCGCTCGGTAGCTGGGAAGGTGGTTGAAGTGCTACCAATCCTCCCTTGAAAATCTTCCTCGACGATATTTAAATCTCGTACCGCTACCTCTCAGTTTTCTTCAGACCCATCATCTCTGTAGTTAAGTAGAATCTTGATTTGTATGTCTTTAGCAGTTCGGAAACGAGACTTCTTCCCTTTACAAAAAAATATTGCTTTAAAGATTTATTTATGCATGCATGCAAGAGCTGGGGTACAGGCCAGAGGGGTGGGGGGGTGAGAGGATTCACCAGAGACAGAGTGGGGAGCAGAACAAGTGGGTTGATTGAGATACACTGCTGAGGGGAGCAGCAGGTGAGACAGGAGAGGTCTGCTGTGCCATTGGGTTGCTCCCTGGCTGGCGGGGGATCGAACTCGTGCTGCAGAGGCTGCGGATAGCTTCGTTGTGCGGTGCTTAACCCCTTGCGCCACCAGGGAGGCCCTACAAAGATACTTTGCGTGATAATTTCATTTCTTATGTGCCAATGTGTGCCGTAATTTCATTCCTCCAATGTGTTGGAAAGTACTTCCTGTACCTCGCTTTGTTCATTCAGTCACGCATTTTTTGGGAGGTTACCATGTGGGAAAGCTGCTGTGGCCCTTGGCGTTGTGGGACCAGTGAGAGAAATCGGTACTGAAACTAATGGAAACGCGAGTGTGCAATTGCAATAGACGTGAGTGCCACGAAGGAGAGTTACATGGTGATCTGAGAATTTGAAATAGGTAAAACCTATAGGAAAACCACCTTACAGGAGGTTTTCCCGGGCAAGAGAGACTCTACCTGAGAGCTGACAGGTTAGCAGGAGGTAACTAAGGAAAGAACATTCGGCACGGAATAATATGTTAGAAAGCCCTGTGTTAAGAAAGAGCTTTTAAAATTTGAGGAACCCAGACTGTAGATGTGTGGGTGGAGCGCCCGACGCTGAGCTCTGCTTGCTTCAAGTTTTGAAAAATCTGAAAGCAATGGGTGTCGTCGAAAGGTTCTCAACTAGGAGGGCGATAGGACCGGATTTGAATTTCTCAAAGATCAAAGATCACTTGCTGAAAAGCAAAGATCTCAATTACAGGGTTGAATGCAGGGAGCTTAAGCAGGAGGTTATTGGTGGTAGTACATGTTGGGGAGATTTGTTTTTGTATTAATATTCATTATATTGGGGGCCTTTCTGTAGCACAAGGTGTTATTAAGTCTCCATACTATCAAGCTATCACCAGCCACTGTGATCCTGACCAGGGAGGTAATCCACATGACACAGCAGACCTCTCCTGTCATGCCCACTACTCCCTTCAGCAGTGTATTTCACTAGATCTGCCTGTTCTGCACCCCACTCTGTCTCTGTCCACACCCGCCCCACCTCTGGCCTACACCCCACTTCTTGTTTTGTTTTTTTAAAGATTTATTTATTTGTGCGTACAAGAGCTGGGGTAAAGGCCAGAGATGTGGGAGCAAAAGGGGTGTGCGTGAGAGGATTCACCAGAGAAAGAGTGGGGAACAGAACAGGCAGACAGACTGAAATACACTGCTGAAGGGAGCTGCCGGGGAGACAGGAGAGGTCTGCCTCACCATGTAGGTTGCAGGGTGGCCAGCCCAATTGCTTCATAGGTTGCAGATTGTCTATTGTTGTTTTAAGATTTATTTATGCATACAAGAATTGGCATGTAGGCCACAGGTGGGGGGGGGGGTGAGAGGATGCACCAGAGACAGAGTGGGGAACAGAACAGGCAGACAGACTGAAATACACTGCTGAGACTATTTACAATAGCTAAGCTTTGGAAACAACCCAAATGCCTAAAAATAGATGACAGGATCAAGAAGATGTGGTACATATACACCATGGAATATTGCTCAGCATTCAAAAAAGATAAACACATGCAATTTGCAGCACCATGGATGGCGCTGGAAGGGATCATGCTCAGCGAAATAAGCCAGAAAGAAAAAGAAAAATACCGGATGGTCTCACTCATAGCAGGAATCTAGAAAACTTAAATAAGGGACCAGGAAAAAGAATAACTATTAAGAAAGAAAATACAAAAATCGACAAACAACTATGAACCAGAGACACTCTATAGGGGAAGGGGGGCGGGGAAAGGAGGGTTGGGGTCAAAATAAGGGGGTTGTAATTGTATGGGGAATATAAAAATAAAATTAAAAAAAAGAAAGAAAAGAAATACACTGCTGAGGGGAGCAGCAGGTGAGACAGGAGAGTTCTGCCCGGTATGGGTTAGCTTCCTGGCCAGATCAAACTTGTGCTGCAGTGGCTTCTAATAGCTTGATTGTGCTGAGACTTAACCACTTGCACCATCAGGGAGGCCCATAAACCCCAGCTCTTGTAGGTATAAATAAATAAAATAAATCTTTAAAAAAATTTTTTTAAATATTCATTATATTGAGCTACTAAAAGGAAGTTTTTTTGTTTTTTTAGTTTAAGGCTCTCACAGAGGTATTCTGTAATTGGTTTTCATTCTGAAAATAAGTTAGTAATTTTCATGTAACACAGTGCCTCTTTACATTAAGTCTAGTACATGATAGCTGAAATTTCCAACTGTGATCAATTGAAGGCAGGTCAGAATGAGTAGATGCTGCATTGTGTAGAATCCGGTAACTCTCTTACGACCCAAAACTGATTGGTTTTCAAAATCTAGAAAAATTGAGGATTTCTCTTTTTCCACTGTTGACAATACTGTGTGTAAATATTCTCTTAGAAAGAAACATTGGTGGGCCTCCCCTGGTGGCTCAGCGGTTGAGCACTGGGCTGCGAAGCTGCCCGCAGCCTCTGCAACGCCAGTTTGATCCCCGGCCGCCAGCAAGGGTCCCACATGGCGCACAGACCTCTCTTGCCGCGCCCGCTGCTCCCCTCAGCAGTGTACTTGGGTCCTTCTGCCTGTTCTGCTCCCTGCTCTGGCTCTGGTGAATTCTCTCACCCTCCCGCGCTTCTAACTGTACCCAGTGCTTGTATAAATAAATAAATGAATCTTTAAAAAAATAAAATAAACTCCATGGTGGTGGTTCCTGAAGCCTGAGGTTTCTTGCAATTATGTGCACAGGTGAGAACCCACAGACAGTGACTTGTCCTCTTATTGGGCATTGTCCTTTGTTAGGACAATGTATAGCCCTTGATTTTGATTTTTGGCCTTTTGGGGCTTTTTGGTGGGTCTCCGGTCTCAGAGCCTGGGCAGATGGGTGGCCGTTCCACCCTTCATCTGGCTTCCTGCCTTGTTGCCTTTTTGACTCTGCCGGCCCCGGTTTCAATATGAGGACAAATAAATACAGCGATTTAGAAAGATAAAGAGTAGAGCTTCAACAGTGAAGGAGGATTGAAGGACATGAGTGATATTCTAGGATATGTTGGAGTAATGCAAAATTCAGAATAATGACTCACTACAGAGGAATATTTTTAATTATATGATTGCATTCAAATTAATGAGTGTCTTAAATCAGTATCTATGAGATTGATTGTAGACAAAATACAGAAGAGAAGTTTCTCCTTAAATTGTAAGGATGTAAAACATGCTCATAGAAAAGGTTTATTTATGTAATCAATCAAATATAGAAGTATATAAGTCTGTGGATTTGTTTTGACATTTATTTGACGTGAACAATTTAAGTCTTTAGAAAAGACAATATAACTTTTGGATCTGCGGAGACTAAAGATTCAGGTGAATTATTTTAACCAATGTAATCATTTGAATGAAGACTTTCCCCTTTTTTTTAATGAGATACAATTGACATATCGTAGTTCACCCATTTGAAGTATACAATTCTGTGCTTTTTAGTATATTCACAGGACTGTACAACTCTCACCACAGTTTAATTTTAGGACATTTTTGATCCCTAACAGTAGAACCTTGTATTCGTTAGCAGTCACTCCCTATGATCTACTTTCTGTCTCTGTAGATTTACCTATTCTGAACACTTCACATAGGTGGAATTATATAATACATGGTATTTTGTGACTGTCTTCTTCACCTAATAAAATGGTTTTGACATTTTGAAGGTATGAATTTTCTTTTAAAATTCAACTGAGGGGGCCTCCCCGGTGGCGCAGCGGTTGAGCGCTGGGTTGCGAAGCTGCCCGCGGCCTCTGCGGCGCCGGTTCGATCCCTGGCTGCTCCCCGGCCACTGGAGGAGGGTCCCACATGGCGCGCAGACCTCTCCTGCCGCCCGCTGCTCCCCTCAGCAGTGTACTTCGGTCCTTCTGCCTGCTCTGCTCCCCGCTCTGGCTCTGATGAATTCTCTCACCCTCCCGTGCTTCTGACTGTACCCAGTGCATGTATAAACAAAACAAACAAACAAACCAGCAAACAAATAAATAAAGCATGCCTCTATCAAAAAAAAAAAAATTTAAAAAAAAAATAAAATAAAATCCAACTGAAAGTCTGCCTTTACAAAAATAACTTGAGATATAAATTCCTTTGCAGTTAAACAAAGAGAATTTAATGAGATTGTTTTTGGGTTTTTTGTTTTTTCGCCAGGTCAGCTTTGAAATTTAAAAACAATGGAGAAGACTCAAGAAACAGTCCAAAGAATTCTTTTGGAACCCTACAAATACTTACTTCAGTTACCAGGTAATAACAAACATATGGCCCACATAGGGTAGGTTTATACTCTTATTGCTGTGTTGTCCCTCTTCATGCACAGTATGGCCTTCTAGTCATCCTCTGGGAACCATAGTCTTTAACTTTGTATAATTTGGTTGTAAATAATTGGAGAAGTTGAACCCCTTCTTCTCACTCTTTTGCCATCTGCCAGATTCCTTTTAGAGTTATGTTCATAGAGTAGTGGTCAGTCAAATGTTAGCATACAGAAAAGATTAGACTTGCCAATACTTTGAAATTTTCGATTTTACATTGATGTATATGATAAAAGGGATTAAATAGAAATCTGTTGGGGCCTCCCTGGTGGCCTATGGGTTAAGTCTCAGTGCTATCACCACTATGGCCTGAGTTCAATCCCTGACCAGGGAGCTAACCTATATAAGGCACAGCAGGGTATTTCCTATCTTGCCTGTTGCTCCCCTTAACAGTGTATTTCAGTAGATCTGCCTGTTCTGCTCCCCACTCTGTCTCTGGTGAATCCTCTCACCCTTTGCATCTCTGACCTGCACCCCAGTTCTTTTACCCAAAAATAAATAAATAGTAATGCATCTGAATCACATTACTTGGAAGCGTACTCACATTGCTCCTGTATAAAGTTGGGTCATCAAAATATGACTTCCTGGGCCTCCCTGGTGGCGCAAGGGTAAGCACCACATTATGAAGCAATCCTCAGCCTCTGCAGCACAAGTTCAATCCCCGGCTTGCCAGGGAGCAACCCACATGGCACAGCAGACCTCTCCTGTCTCACCCACTGCTCCCCTCAGCAGTGTATTTCAGTCTGCCTGTTCTATTCCCCACTCTGTCTCTGGTGAATTCTCTCACCCCCCTATACCTCTGGCCTGTACCCCAGTTCTTGTATGCATAAATAAATCCATCTTTAATAAATAAATAAATGATTTTTTATGCAATTATTTCCCTGTAACCTAATCTGAAATTAGGATGTATTCACTTTAGCAGGAAGCTCATAGAACATTTTTATTAGATGAACTGTTAATGGTTTTTAATCTACCATTCTTTATACTTGGCCTAAAACAACTAATGATAACCTTTCTTGAGCTTCCCATTTAAGAGAAAGATAATTTTGAAAAACTAATGGCCCTTGTCAAAATAGAGATTAACTTTTGACTAAACTTGGGGTGTTCAAAGGTAATGTTTAAGATATGGTGATCTCACCTTTTGATAGAAAAAAAATAGAGGTTTTCCAGTCTCTAAAATCTTAAGGGAACGGTAGATAATTTTATTTTTTTTTTCATGTTTTCTTTTTTTTTAAGGATTTATTTATTTATTTTATTTATTTATACAAGCACTGGGTACAGTCAGAAGCGCGGGAGGGTGAGAGGATTCACCAGAGCCAGAGCGGGGAGCAGAGCAGGCAGAAGGACCGAAGTACACTGCTGAGGGGAGCAGCGGGTGGCAGGAGAGGTCTGCGCACCATGTGGGACCCTCCTCCGGTGGCCGGGGATCGAACCGGCGCTGCAGAGGCTGCGGGCAGCTTCGCAGCCCAGCGCTCAACGGCTGTGCCACCGGGGAGGCCCGGGAACGGTAGATAATTTTAGAAGGTAATTTTATGAGGTAATTCAATAACAAAGTACATTTCATGATAAACACCTGTATTTCTTTCTTTCTTTTTTTTTTTTTTTTTTTTTTTTTTTTTTTTTTTGTGGGACCCTCGCCGGCAGCCGGGGAACGAGCCGGTGCTGCAGAGGCTGTGGGCAGCCTTGCAGCCCAGCAACCGCTGCGCCACCAGGGGAGGCCCACACCTGTATGTCTCTTTAAATAGACAGTGCTCATTAGTTGCCACTAACTAGATTTCCCTTTCAAGAAAGGAATGAATTTTCACAATTCCTAAAAAGCCCATCCCATTCCAAATTTTGAGGTAAGATGAAAGAAGTAAGCCTCAGTGGGCCACTGAAGTTCTTTAAAATTCATTTTGTCTTTCCTAATTTTAAAAGTGTGCATTTTATTTCAGCAGAGTGACCCAGCAGTGGAATACTGCTCTGAGGAATGCATTGATAAGGCTGATTTTATCAAGTCCAATCAGTTTTAGAAAAAGTTCCTGAATGTGTTTCTTTCAATTAAAATGTTCATTTTATTGTCAATTTTTCATTGCAGGTAAACAAGTGAGAACCAAACTTTCACAGGCATTTAATCATTGGCTAAAAGTTCCAGAAGACAAATTACAGGTATTCATTCAGGCAATTCTAACTTTGTTCTTAATCCCCAAGTAATTAAATTAATGTCATGTAAAAAATACTCCTGGCTCAAAAAAAAAAAAAAAAAAAAAAACTCTTGGCTCTTAAATCAGTTTTTCTTTTCTCTTTTCTTTTTTTTTTTTTGTTTTTTGTTTTTGTTTTTTGTTTTTCTTTTTTTTGGGGGGGGGGCGTAAAAGAACTGGAGTATAGGCCAGAGGTAAGGGGGTTGAGAGGATTCACCAGGGACAGAAAGGAGAGCAGAACAGGAGGATTTTACTGAAATATACTGCTAAGGGAACAGCAGGCAAGATATCTTGTAGAGGTCTATTGTGCCATATGTGGGTTAGCTCCTTGTTCGAGGATTGAACTCAGGCCATAGTGCTAGGCCACCAGGGAGGCCCTCTTAATTCAGTTTAATACTCATGTAACATTTTATATTGTGCTTGTTAGATAATCACTAGTAGTAAAAATTAATCTGACACTAGCAACTGCAAGTTTGATAAAGCATATATAGGCTATTTTGAATAGTTTAAATAAAAAATTTTCAATTTTTTTTTCCCTTAGATTATCATTGAAGTGACAGAAATGCTGCATAATGCCAGTTTGCTCATTGATGATATTGAAGACAATTCAAAACTCCGACGTGGCTTTCCAGTGGCACATAGCATTTATGGAATTCCATCTGTCATTAATTCTGCAAATTATGTGTATTTCCTTGGCCTAGAGAAAGTTTTAACTCTTGATCACCCAGATGCAGTGAAGATTTTTACCCGCCAGCTTTTGGAACTCCATCAGGGACAAGGCCTAGATATTTACTGGAGGGATAATTACACCTGTCCCACTGAAGAAGAATATAAAGCTATGGTGCTGCAAAAGACAGGTGGACTATTTGGATTAGCAGTAGGTCTCATGCAGGTGTTCTCCGATTACAAAGAAGATTTAAAACCTCTACTTAACACACTTGGGCTCTTTTTCCAAATTAGGGATGATTATGCCAATCTACACTCCAAAGAATATAGTGAAAACAAAAGCTTTTGTGAAGATCTAACGGAGGGAAAGTTCTCATTCCCTACTATTCATGCTATTTGGTCAAGGCCTGAAAGCACCCAAGTGCAGAATATCTTGCGCCAGAGGACCGAAAATATAGATATTAAAAAATACTGTATACAGTACCTTGAGAATATAGGTTCTTTTGAATATACTCGAAATACTCTTAAAGAGCTTGAATCTACAGCCTATAAACAAATTGACGCATGTGGTGGCAACCCTGAGCTAGTAGCTCTAGTAAAGCACTTAAGTAAAATGTTCAAAGAAGAAAATGAATAGTATTAAACCATCCTTGATTAAACGTGAATGCTTATCTTAGTTGAAATTTTTTTGTCTTTCAGCCTTTTTAAAATTCTGACCCAAGCTGTTAATCTCCAAGAACTGGGTGAACAGGAATCATGATGAGGTTGTTTCAATTTGAATGCTGCTTTAATAATAATACAAAGTTGAAAGAATCAAAAGGAGTCACATTGAAATAGGTCTGATTTCAATTTCCAAATGTGCTTTGTTGGACTCTTGTAGCCATCTCTGCTACGGATGTTCTGTTGATTCTATCAATAAAGAAGAATTCAGCTTCCAGGAATTTTTTTTTTTAAGATTCATTTTTTTATTTATGCATACAAGAGTTGGGGTATATAGACCAGAGGTATGGGAGGGTGAGTGGATTCACCAGAGACAGAATGGGGAGCAGTACAAGCAGATTGACTGAAATATACTGCTGAGGGGAGCAGCAGGCAAGAGAGGAGAAGTCTATTGCGCCATGTAGATTAGCTCCCTGGCCGGGCATCAAACTCCTGCTAAAGTGGCTGCCCATCGCTTCATAGTGCTGAGACTTAACACCTTGCGCCACTAGGGAGACCCTTTTGGGAATTTTTATACAGATATTTCTAGCTCTGATATTTGGGCAGTTCTAGGTTCACTTTTTGCTGTTCCAAGTCAGTGACTACTTAGGACCAGTTTCTGTAGCTAACTGTCCCAAAGGTGATAGGAATTCCTCTTCCTTCCTAAATGTTGCTGCTTAAATTATAATACCTCAGTCCTTTCCCTAGAAACTTACTAATGACCATGAAAACTCCCTCACTAAATACCAGTGCTATGCAGTAAGGTCTCTGATTCTTTTTTATCTGCTTTTTTTCCTTCTTTCCCTGGCAAATTCTGCTCATTAACCAAGGCATCTCCATTTAATGAAATTTATGGCTAGCCCAAATTCCTTCTTTTTTCCTTCTGTGACTTAAATTCTTAAGCTCCAAACCTAATTAGTGTCTGAGTACAGCAATGTCTTTCCATTAGGGGAGGAAAAAAAGGGCACATGGAAAAACTATCTTAGAAAGTGAACTTTCAACATCTTTATAATTTCCCCTCAGAAGAATGAGTAAGCTGTTTGCTTACCTCTAGTACAAAAGCTGGGGTGAAAAAGGAAGTATGATTAAAGGAAAGAAAAGTGTTAAGCTGAGAGCTAGTACCTGACTGAGAAGTAGCTGAAGACTACAGTGTCAGGCACTAATTAGTTTTACAGTGCCTTAGCCCTGACTGTATCCCTTGTGTGTAATTTCTAACCCCAAGCTCCTAGAACCATCTGTGACCAAGAGGTAGTGGAAAAAATAAGAGACCCTGATTTCTGTATTAGAAGTGTTACTTATAGCCAAAAGTGAAAGTTCATCTTTCTCAAAAACTACATTTTGCTTGATTGGTTGCCTCAGATCTAATCACCGTATTCTTATATGAGAAGTTCTCACAAAGCACTCCACCTAAATCTTTTTGGAAAGTTGAGTACTGTCTTTACTAATTTTTAAAAACAATTTGAACCTTTCATTTTGATTTATAAAAGGAATTTCTTAAACATATTTTGTACTTTACTGGAAATTTGAATTTCTATGATGAATATTAAATATTCCAATTCAAGTCCTATATTAATACAAACAATGGCATGAAACCATTTCTGTCTTTCTATCACATCATCGGTGGTACCGGAGTGTCTTGATTTATCTCACACATTCCTTGCCCCCTATATATATCCAGTCCTCCCAATTTCTATAAATCTGTTCTTTGAGCTGTCTCTTATCTGGTCCCTAACTTTCCATTTTCACTAGTTAAAATTAGAACAGGTTTGGTTTTTTTTTTTTAAGATTTATTTTTATTTATTTACTTATACAAGCGGGAGGGTGAGAGAATTCACCATATCCAGAGCGGGGAGCATAGCAGGCAGTAGGACCGAAGTACACTGCTGAGGGGAGCAGCGGGCGGCAGGAGAGGTCTGCGCGCCATGTGGGACCCTCCTCCGGTGGCCGGGGAGCAGCCAGGGATTGAACCAGTGCTGCAGAGGCTGCAGGCAGCTTCACAACCCGGCGCTCAACCGCTGTGCCACCGGCGAGGCCCCAGGTTTTGTTTTGTTTTGTTTTGTTTTTAATTGATTTATGCATAGAAGAGCTGAGGTGTAGGCCAGAGGCACTGGGAATGAGAGGATTCACTAGAGACTTGGGAGCAGAACAGGCAGCTTTACTGAAATACATTGCCAAGGGGAGCAGTGGGCTAGAGAGGAGGTCTGCTGTGTTACTCCCTGGCTGGGATTAAACTCAAGCCATAGTGACGATAGCACTGAGACTTAACCCCTATGCCACCAGGAAGGCCCCAACAGAGTACTTTTTAATCTATTTAATGATTTAATCTATTTAATCATGCTGCAGTGGCTGGTGATAGCTTGATAGCACTGAGACTTTTTTTTAAGATTTATTTATGCATACAAGAGCCAGGGTGTAGGCCAGAGGTATGCTGGGTGGGGGGTGTGGGGGGGCGGGAGGGGCGGGGTGAGAGGATTTACCAGAGACAGTGGGGAGCAGAAAAGTCTTATCTCCTGAAATACACTGCTGAGAGGAGCAGTGGGCAAGACAGTAAAGGTCTGCACCACGTGGGTCACCTCCCTATTCAGCCAGTGAATTGAACTCATGTTACAGTGACTACTGATCTCTTTTTTGTTTTTTGTTTTTTTTTGTGTGTGTGTGGGACCCTCACCGGTGGCTGGGGATCGAACTGGCACTGTAGAGGCTGCAGGCAGCCTCACAACCCAGCGGTCAGCTGCTGCGCCACCAGGGGAGGCCCCAACTGCTGATCTCTTGGTAGCGCTCTTTAACCCCTGTGCCACCAAGAAGACCCTGATAGTGCTAGACTTAATCCCTTGTGCCACCAGGGAGGCCCAACAATATACCCTTTGAAACAAAAGAAAGTAACAATTCCAAGAGACAAACTAAGAGATTTTCTGGTTTAATGAAAATGTTTTGTAGTTTGGTAACAGAGGTGAAAGCATAATAAAAAATTGTTCCGTTTCTTAAATCCTGAAACTTGACCGATTAAGTTTTGTAAAGCTGGATTGAAGATGATCAAAAATAGAGTATTAAATCAGTGGCTTAGCATCTATCTATCCATCTATCCATCTATCTGTCTATCTATACATATATGTAAGAGTTTAGAAAGTTTTCTAGGACGTAGAAAAAGTATAATAGTTAAGAGGGTACTGGGAGGGGATTCAGTATCATGAATCATTAGAGAGTCTCAATTTATTGAAACCACAAGTCACTTATAATATCAATTTTATGAGGAAGAATTTACTGCAGTTTGCTGTATTGTGTCCCCAACAGGAGCACAGAAACAAAACTGCTACAACAAACAAGATCAAACCAATAATTTCCTCCTGGCTTGGAATATCATAGCAAATTCGATAATTCATATCACCTAAATTATTTTCCTGGAATCCCTTCTCTTTTTTCAGCCCATTTAGCTCACAGCTGCCAAATTAATCTTAATTATTTGTATTCATTTTATGCCTCCGTTCAAAAATAATTTCCTTATAGGACAAACCCTTTTAGCTTCACAGAGCTCTCATATCTGCTTTTTTCTGCCTTTTCTCCCACCATCCCGAAATCTGCCTATTCATTCTCACCTAAAGTCATTATACAAATGTCCACTTTCACTTCTGCAATCACTGCTTTTTAAAATATTCTCTCTCCAATTTGCTCTCTTTCTAAAACCTTAAAGTATTTCCTTACAGAAAACTTTTCCAATTCAAAATGTCTTTATACTCATAATTAATAGAAGAAACAGTCCACTCCAACTACCCGATAGAAAATGAGTAATTGAATGGGCTTTGCTAAGTATTTAATAGAGACCTTACAAAACAAAACTTCAACGTGGTCTTTAGTTAACTGAGGCAAAAACAGTCATTAAAAGGCATATGGCTGACTTTTTTTATTCCCAAGAGATCCATTGCTCTCTAGTAACGAGGTGCTGAATCCATCATCGGGTGCTCACTCCATTGTAAGGCAACTGACAACATGGTTTTTTTTTAAAGATTTATTTATGCATTCAAGAAATGGGGTACAGGCCAGAGGTGTGGATATGAGAAGATTTACCAGAGACACAGTGGGGACCATAACAGGCGGGTTGACTGAAATACACTGCTGAGGGGAGCAGTGGGTGAGACAGGAGAGGTCTGCTGATCCATGTGGGTCACCTCCCTGGCTGGGTATCAAACTCGTGCTGCAGTGGCTGGGATAGCTTGATCGCATTGTCCTTAACCCCTGTGCACTAGGGAGGCCCCTGGAAAACATCTCTTTAACAAAGGTTTATTATAGTATTTCTCCAACTTGAATTATGTGCCATCTTTAAAAGAAAAACAATTATCCTGAATCTACTGATTCCTAGGTTTTTTGGGTTTGGTTTTTTTTTTTTTTTTTTTTTTTTTGTTAAACTGTTACTTACATATGTCAAATAAGATAGGCATAGGGGAGGGCCTCCCCGGTGGCACAGTGGGTTGAGTGCAGTGCTGTGAAGCTGTCCACAGCCTCTGCAGCACAGGTTCAATCCTGGCCGGCCAGGGAGGTACCCACATGACACAGCAGACCTCTCCTGTCCTGCCTGCTGCTCCCCTTAGTAAAGTGCTTTCGGTCTGTCTGCCTGTTCTGCTCCCCGCTGTCTCTGGTGAATCCTCTTACCCTCCTGCGCCTCTGGCCTGTACCCCAGTTCTTATACAAATAAGTAAATCTTAAAAAAAAAAAAACAAGATAGGCATAGGGGAATTTATTGCCATTCTGCTATCCTAATTCTTCCTAATGACATTTCTGTTTTTTCTTGGTGAGCTACCTCTTCCTGTTGCATAGTAAGTTCTCCTTAATGTCTTCATCAACAGGTTCTGGGAAACTGTGACTTTAAGTGAAACTTTAAGCAAAATGATGTATAATATAACCAATTTTACCATAAGCTACTTGATACAAACAAGAGTTAAGTTACCATGGCATATTTGCAGTCACAAAAAAATCACCAAACTTTAAATAAAGGCCCAAAATCCTCTAATATTAAACAATCATTTGTAATCACATTCATTTATTCTTTTTCCAACCCACTTAATTCCAATTTAGAGTTGCTGGTGCCTATAATCTATTAAAGAGCACACACATGTACACACACAAACACATATACTCAATTTAGACAACGTCACATGCACATCTTTGGGATGTAGGAGGAAATCAGAGTAGCCAGAGAACACCCACCCAGACATGGAGAGGAAGTTAAAACTCCATACAAACAGTGGCTCCAGTCAGGAATCAGGTGTTTTTTTCCCTCATCAACATTTTAGTTATATTTAATTTTTTTTTTTTTTGCCTCCAATGAGATTTACTGAGCCCAACAAAGTTTTGTATACAAAGTAACCTGGACCTGCTGCTTCAAAACATACTTTCATACTAATATTTGGTAAGAGAGTTCATGCAGTGTCAAAAAGCAGCTTATTCTAAAATTAAAAGTGCTTGGGCCTCCCTAGTGTCACAAGGCATTAAGTAGCAGCACTATGAAGCTATCCATAGCCACCATAGTACGAGTTCAATCCCTGTCCAAGGAGCTAACCCACATGGCACAGAAGACCTCTCCTGTCTATTTCACTCAATCCACCTGTTCTGTTTCCCACTCACCCCCCACACCTCTGGCCTGTACCCCAGTTCTTGTATGCATAAATAAACTTTAAAAAAATAAAATTAGGGTCTCCCTGGTGGCACAGGGGTTAAAGATAGCGCTGTCAAGCTATTGCCAGCCACTACAGCACTAGTTCGATCCCTGGCCAGCCAGGGAGCTACCCACATGGTGCAGCAGACCTCTCCTGTCTCACCCACTGCTCCCCTCTGCCTGTTCTGCTCACCACTCTCTGGTGAATCCTCTCACCTCCCACACCTCTGGCCTACACCCCAGTTCTTTTATGCATAAATAAATTTTTAAAAAATTATTTTTAAATTAAAGTGCCTAATGCACATTAAATAAATGGCCTGACTACTGGAACTTGAATATTTCTATAAGATAATACAGATAAGTTCAAGTCTTTATGACAGGCTATTGCAGAAATATGAGTTGTCAAGAGAACATTTTGTGCACTGCCACTGTGATGTAATGTTTCTGGATCATAATGTCCATTATCTGATTCTAGGCATACTGAAACAGGGATGGAGAGGACCGCAAAAGGGCAACAAGGCAGGAGGCTGGATGGAAGGGTGGAACAGCCACCTACCTGCCCTGGTTCTGAGACCGGAGAGTCGTCAAAAAGCCCCAAAAGGCCAAAAACCAAAACCAGGAGCTATAGCCTAACAAAGGACAGTGCCCAATCAGAGGACAGGTCACTGTCTGTGGGTTCTCACCCACACACACAATTGCAAGAGACCTTTGACTCTAGGAACAACCATGAGGTTTATTTTACAAACAGGGGAAACAAAAAGCTTAGTGTATCCACAACTGGCAGCTATCTCACCAAGGCAGCATCAGTGATGGTTGCCATCGGTCACCAGGAATGCTGGACAACACTAGCCAGTATGATGGCCATTACTGCTCCCGCAGAGGTGGTGTCAGAAACACCTAGTGTTAACAGCTCTATGTGAGTTCTTGGGTCATACCAACAATAAACAGCTGTTTGAGACACCAGACCCAGGGCTGTGGGTGCTCCTTTCAGGCAATGTAAGAGACGGGGCTGATGCCCAGTTTGTAACAGAGTCCTTCGGCTTCTCTTCCCTCGTTAGATGTCAGCTGCTAGATGATGCTTCTTTCTTCAGGGACTGGAGCTGCCTTCTTTTCTTCAGGGTTTGGCAGTATGGTCTGCCTCCTCTTCTAGGGCTGGCATTTTCTCTCCTTCTCCAGGGGCTGGCTTGTCCTCTCAGTTCCCTCAAACCCTGGCTTATATCCTCTTTCAGGGTGTCCTGCCCACAAGCCTGATGGACCATTTTTCAATCCTATGGCTGATTGGACCATTTACCGATTAGCCCATAGCACCTGATTGGTCCATTCCAGGATCCAAGACCTTTATTACATAAAAGGTCTCTGAGGAGCAACTGCCACAACTTGTGGTGGGGCAGCAGGTTAACAAAACCACTGCTCCTGCCAGCTCCCACCGTTAAGACAGCTGGGTTCTGGTAACAATGCCACAGAAAATGAAGGAAAAGATAAACAGCTGGGACTACATCAAATTATAAAGCTTCTGCATAGCAAAAGAGACACTAATCAGGGCCTCCCCAGTGGCACAGGCAGTTGAGCGCAGCGCTGTGAAGCTGTCCGCAGTCTCGGCAGTGCCAGTTCGATCCCTGCCAGCCTCGGAGCAACCAAATGGCACGGCAGACCTCTCCTGTCTTGCCCCTGCTCCCCTCAGCAGTGTATTTCAGTCAGTCAGCCTGTTCTGTTCCCCACTATGTCTCTGGTGAATCCTCTCACCCTCTGTGCTCTGACCTGTACCCCAGCTCTTGTATGTATAAATAAATAAATCTTTGGAAAAAAAAAAAAAGCATTTCCACTTCTTATCCTGAAACATAATGGACAACAGAAACTCCCACAAATTTATAAAACACATGGAGTATAACAGAGAGATACTAAGGTTAGAGAAGTGAAACCAAAACAAGAAAAATACAGAATAATTTAATTTAGGGTAAATGGGAGTAATTAAGCTCACAGAGAATATGAGATGATAAGACATACCATAAGCTGTCAATAGATCTTTGAAGAAATCTAAAAACATCTGGGGCCTCCCCTGGAGGCGCAGTTGGTTGAGCGCTGCGCTGTGAAGCTGTCCGCAGCCTCAGCAGCGCCAGTTTGATCCTGGCTGGTCTGGCGAGGGTCCCACAACATGGCACGGCAGACCTCTCCTGTTGTGCCCACTGCTCCCTCAGCAGTGTATTTTGTCAGTCTGCCTGTTCTGTTCCCCGCTCTGTCTCTGGTGAATCCTCTCACTCTCCCGTGCATCTGGCCTGTACGCCAGTTCTTGTATAAATAAATAAAAAATAAATCTTAAAAAAAAATAAAAACATCTGAATTGAATCTATGGCAGATGATTTCCTACCCAACAATCATTCTGTAACCGCCCCAGGAAAAGGGTCTGTTCCAGGTTCCCTGCCCCACTCAAGGGAGGATGGAGCCAAGCAGGGAAAAGAAGCTAGAGAGGAGACTGGAAGGAAGAAAGGAAAAAGGATGGAGAGGAAGAAAGAGACCTGGAGGAGGCACATGGAGCAGAGAGACATGTGTAGAAGTTGCACTTGCTTTTTGGTCCTGGACTGGTTGAAACAGATGTGGGTGAGAGACCCATGGGGAGGTTAACAATGGCAGCATTGGTCTTGATTTTGCTTTTGTTTTTTTCCTTCCAGACTTGTCTGGCTGTTTCTGACCCTTTTCTATGGGTCCCCTCCGGAAGGTGCTTTATACTTGCGGCCGTCTTTTGGGCTTTGTTTTAGACAAACCTTGTTTGGCTCGACACTTGCTGACAAGGTGATGGGTAACTTCAGGTGTTGGATTTGGAAACCATAGTCTTTGTCTTTTCTTTGTTGCACACTAATTGTATTAAAATTCCTTTCCATTAAAAGTTGTTGGGAGCCAGGGGCGTGTGCTCTTGGGGCAACAGTCATGAGCCACGCCACCCCTGTTGAATGCCTCAGATGGCAACAGTTGCTCAGTCAGGAGGCATAGAAAAAGGATATCTCCCCACTGTAACCTTCAAGCTAGAACACTGAGCTCAGAGCAGGAATGCAGCTTTCTGATATTGTTGTAACCCCTGGCACCTCCTGATACCTCCATAACACTAACTGTCACAAACCCATGGACCTTGCCCTGTCTTCCCCCATGCTCGAGATTGCATAAATAAACTGCACTGGGCCACTGAACCAAGACTGGGGTCTCCCGTTTACTTTTCCATCTGGTCCCAGCTTTCACTAACTCGTCTGTCTTTCCTTAATCTCCTACCTTCCTCTCTCAGATCTGCTTGACTTAGCTGGTCCACAGCAAAAGGTCTTATATGTTTTGCCTTGATGCAGCAGATGGCACAACCTATTTAGAGTGGGCAGGTTTGGGGGTTTTGGGGTGCTCCTCTCCCTGTCCGTAACAATTCCTTGCTTCTTCCTGTTGAAAAGAACCCTGCTATTTACCCAACGTTGCATGGCTATAGGCTTCAAGGGAAGTAGAATCCTCCCTCCATAGGGAAGGTCAATCTTTATCTCTTAAGGCCTTCAATTTGATTAGATGAGGACCACTTATGTTATGAGGCAATATACTTCATCCCAAGTCTGCTGTAGCTGTTACTCTCATCTAAAACATACCTTTACAACAACATCTACAGTGTGACCTAATATCCGGGTGCTATGTAAAACTGATAATTACAACTAGCATGCTAAGAGGAAAAGTTGCACATCAAAAGGAGCCAAGTGTGCATAAGAGGGCTCCAGGGAACTTTGCATGATAAACATGGCCACTATGAAGTTCCAGGTGGAAGACTGACCTCCTTGTGAAGGAGCTGGGAGGAGGACGGATCTGGAAGAAGACTGTGAAATTTATAAGAAATTAGCATTTGATTTTTTCTTATATTAACCTTTTTCAGAATGTCACTTAGAATTATCCATAGCCTAAACATAGCTTCCTATGTGGTGGACAAACTCAATCTCACACAGAATTTGTAATTCGTCTTCGCGATAACGAGTAAACTGGAGCACGCGCGTCCATTAAGTCGTCCTGTTACCACAGGTCTGGGGGTGGAGGTGCGGGGAGACGGCGACTTGCTTGGCGCTAGGCTGGCTTTGGTGCGTCTACCAAACCTCCAGCTGCCAAGACTCAAGGGTCATCACAGCACCAGTGACTGTCATTCACCCTCGCAGAGGCGGGACTTCCTGTCTTCCTGAAGAAGTGTTTCCGGCCAGAGCCGGAAGCTTTGCTGCGGGACGGCGGGTTCAACTAATCGCAGCTTAGGCCCCCGCGTTCGCTGTCGGCAGGTGAGCTTCGGGGTGTCTGGGGAGTTGAGGGAGCTGAGCTTGCCGGGCTGGCGCGTCACCTTGCTGTGCTCTTGCTCTTTTTCCCGTTTTCCTAGATACGTCTCAGGTTGCCAGAGTCGGGCGTTGCCCGCTCCCTGCGGCTGGAAGGGGGTGGGTGTGTCCGAGCGGGCTGGCGGCGGGGCAGGGTCCCTGTCCTGGGCGGATTGACCGCGCCCCCTGCACGTCCCAGAAAAGCCTTATTGGCTTGTCACTTTGGAAGAGGTGAAATTGGTACAGGCGACCAACACCTTGGTGTCAGGTTAGAGCAATAGCCCTGTCCTTCCAAATCATTTAACATTTTTTTAATTTATTTATGCATACAAGAACTGGGGTACAGGCCAGAGGTGCGGGGGGTGAGAGGATTCACCAGAGGCAGAGTGGGGAGCAGAACAAGCAGATGTACTGAAACACACTGCTGAGGAGAGCAGCGGGTGAGACAGGAGAGGTCTGCTGCACCATGTGGGTAGCTCCCTGGCCAGTGGGGGCCAGTAATTGAACTCGTGCTGCAGTGGCTGTGAACAGCTTCCTAGGTTGCGTCTTAATTCCTTGCGCCACCAGGGAGGCCCATCACTTAATATTTGTGCTGAGGGGGAAATAACTTCAGGTGGAGGGAGACCATTTCAAATAAAGTGTTCTCCACTACATAAATAGTGCTTACTACCAACTGGAGATTGTTCTGAATTGTGGGTGGATTTGGATGAGTGCGTGACATCCCTGTCCCCAAAGAATCAACTCTCGCAGGGAATAAAGTTCGCAGATGCCAAATTGTTAAGAGACAGCCGACTTCTCGTCTGCTTGACATTAATATAATCTTGGTCGCTGTCACTTGATATTTGTTTCAACTTTTGAGTTTTCACCTTTCTGCATGTTTTATGTTTTTATCAATAACCTATTCGTGGTTTTTCTTTTTATTTTTAACTTTAAGTCGACTATCTTTGCCCAGCACGTTAAGTATACATAATTTGTTGTCTCTACCGAGATAATTCGTTTAGGCCTTGGGAGTCCACCTTGACTTATCTCTTTTACACCACCTACCTGTCAGCGTATCCTACGAATTTCACCTTCAAAATCTATCCGGACCCTGAAACCAGTCTCACCACCTTCATTTGTCCAGTCATCTTTCACTTGGATTACTTTACTAGCTCAAAATGTTTTTCCAAGGACTACCTATTTTATTCTGAGTAAAAATCTAGAGTCTTCAGAGTGGCCTTCAAGGTTCTGTGTGATCTGGTCCTGCTTTACCTCTGATTTCATCCTTTGCTGTTCTGTTTCCTTAACTAAGCACATGCTAATAGCCTCAGGATGTTTGCACCTGGGTTTCTTTGCTTGTGTGTTTTCTCTGAATTTGTCCACCTGGTGTAAATCCTTACCTCCCTCTGTTTTCTTGAATATCACCTTCTCAGTGAAGCCTTCCCTGATACTCTTCCTGTATATCTCCATTGCACTCATTATGCTTATTATAGTGTCACTTGCCATGTGATTATTCATTTCTCTGGTTGGTTATGTTTCTGTCATTGGGACAGAAGCTTGCTGAGTACTTCTTCATCTCAGTATTTAATTACTTTTGTAAGATGTTAAAATTCAATAAAACTAGTTGTAGGGTAAGGTAAAAAGTATCAGGCTTTTCTGCCCTCCTGCCATTAGGATAAATGACAGAACCCTGTGGTCCCAAATGCATGCCTGATGGCGGGCACCTGGAGTAGGGTGTGGGCATATTTAGATGGGATTCACTAGAGAAGAGCAGAGAAGCAGAGAGAACGCCGGAGAGCCCAGAAAGAGTGAAGACTTGCTGGGGGATGGGAGGCTTGCCAGCCTCCCAGGCCCCTGGCACCCCTTGCCAGTCGTGTACCTGGTAAATCCCAATAAAAGCCTGCAAAAGCCACTGAGGGCTCCAGGACTCTCTCCTCCTTTACCCCACCTGCTCGGATCATAGAGATCCTGCACTGTGCCCATTCCTGCCTTTACACTAGTAGTTACTGTTTTCTGGTGGTTTTGAATTTTTCTTTTTGGTTTATTGAAGTCAGTTTATCATATATTTCAATAGAGTATGGTACAAAGTTTACTTTTTAAAAGGTATGTTATTTTCCTACATTAGCACATCTCCTTGATGGGAAATATGCAAAAGAATCCATTAGAAAGCAATATGATAGATATATTATTAACTGTGAAATAATTATTTGTTAGCAAGTGGCATTTTTGTTCATAGATATTTAGAAGTATTCCTGCATTCTTTATCTAGTCTCCCAACATGAAGTTCTAATCAATGAAACTCTCACATTTCCCTGCCAGCAAAGTTCGTTCTCTTACTGATTCTTTTTTTTTTAAAGATTTATTTATTTATGCATACAAGAGCTGGGGTACAGGCCAGAGATGTTGGGGGGTGAGAGGATTCACTAGCGACAGAGTGGCGAAGAGAACAGGCAGACTGACTGAAATACACTGCTGAGGGGAGCAGCGGGGCCAGTTAGGGGAGGTCTGTTGCGCCATGTGGGTTTCTCTCTGGCCAGTCGGGGATGGAACTCGTGCTGCAGAAGCTGCAGATTGCTTCATAGTGCAGTGCTTAACCCCTTGCGCCACCAGGTAGGCCCCTCTTACTGATTCTTAACAGTTTAACCAGGGCATATTTTCCCTATAGAGTGTTTTCTCACTCTTAACCCATATGCTTCCCCTCCTTCATTGAGTTTGATTCTTACATTCCTAATTGTAGGTCTTAATTTTTTCTGCTAATTATCTCTTCTAATTAGAGTATAAATTCCTTATAAGAGCAAGTCTTCTGCTTCCTGACATTCTTCATGACAGAAAGGTTGATACATGTAAGGACTCACAGCTTGTTTCTACCTGAGCCAGGATTACTCCTTAAAGCTCCTAAATCACATCTAGGTGTTTTCTATTCTATTGATGTTGATTTTCTGTTCAATAGCTACCATGAGTGGGGTCAATGTGTGAACAATACTTCAGACCTTCTATCAATTATTTTGATACAGTTTTGAACAAACATCAGGGAAAGGCTAAAAAAATGCATTTAGAAAGATAATAAAATCCATATTGAAAAATCTTTTTTCCAATATTCACAAAATGCATGTGTTCGCACCTTTTCTGTTGTGCATCACACATCCTTTTGGATCTCTTGGTGGCTAAAAAAGATAGGAAATGTAACTGATACTAGAATCCATACCTACTTTGAGTGGTGGGCTTACTCTGGATAAAGTTATCCACATCAGCTACTGTATTTTGAACTTACTACTTTGTACATATGGAATGTTTTCCCTTATCTAAATATAGAATCCAATATATGTGCCTTTTTAAAAAATTTATGCTTGTAAGGGCAAACATTCATTGACTGTACTATATGTTGAGCACCTTCTACACATAGTAGCTTTTTAAATTCTCACAATAGTCCTAAGTCCTAATATTATCTACATTTTATACAGGAGGATACTAAGGTTAAATTATCCAGTGTCCCTATCATAAACTAGCATGTAGTGACAGATCCGGCAGAGTACATATAATGTCCATATAACATTAAGTTGGAAAAAAAATGTGACCTAAATTCATACGTATTTTTCAGGATTCTTTCAGTTGCAGGAGAAAGAAACCCAATTCATACTGATGTAAACAAAAGGAGGAATTCAGTGGTTCATGTAACTAATGGAAGACTTGAGGCATAGCTGGGTCAACTCTACTTTCCTGTTTGATCTTATTTTTGGAAAACTTTCCCACTTAGTGTCATGGGTGCCCCTCCACTCTTTCATGCTTAAGTGATCCTTTTGTTTTAAAATCTTGAGAGATGGTTCCTTATGAGGCCGTTTCATTTCCTGAAAGATAGGTTTTGCTTGGGTTAGGCTCTTCATATGTGGTCCAGTTACTGTATAGGAGGAAATGGAGGTGAGGAGTAATCAGATTGACCATCCTGGGCCATGTGTCTACTCAAGTGTTGGGGGAGTGACAGCCAGGGAAAGTACACTTCCCAAAAGGAAAGATGCTGGACTGAAAAAGGCAGAAAATAAGTGAGGACCATTTTAACACTATAGATAGAATTCTAGCTCTTTGTTAAGGTGTCTTGTTAAAGTGCCTTTGAAGAGTCTTAACTCTTAAAAAATTAGTTATTTTTAGAAGAATTAAAGAAATTGTTAAATTTTTGAGTGGCTGTTGTGAAAATAAGGAAAGCATCACTTTTGTAAAATGATTTTTTTTTAAAAGATTTATTTGTGCATACAAGAACTGGGGTACAGGCCAGAGGTGTGGGGGCTGAAGGATTCACCAGAGACAGAGTGGGGAACAGTACAGGCTGACTGACTGAAATACACTGCTGAGGGGAGCAGCGGGCAAGTCATGAGAGGTCTGCTGAGCCATGTGGGTCACCTCCCTGGCTGGGGATTGAACTTGTGCTGCAGTGGCTGCGGATAGCTTCATAGTGCTCTGTCTTAACCCCTTGCGCCACAAGGGAGGACCTGTAAAATGCTATTTAATTTAATATCAGTAATTTGCTTTTGTTCATACTGGTGACTCATCACCAAATAACTCTTGTTTCTTCCAGTTTTCTAAATTGATTCCTTTTTTTTAAGATTTATTTTTATTTATGTATGCATATGAGAACTGTGGTGGGGGAGGGGGTGAGGGGATTCACCAGAGACAGAGTGGGGAGCAGAACAGGCAAATTGATTGAAATGCATTGTTGAGGGAAGCAGTGGGCGAGACAGGAGAGGTCTGCTGCACCATGTGGGTCAGTTCCCTGACCAAGGATCAAACGCATGATGTAGTAGCTGGCAATAGCTTGATAGCGCTGAGACTTCAATCTCTGCGCCACCAGGGAGGACCTAAACAAGATTTTAAACTCTATGAGATTATCAAATTATGGCTAGACAACAAGTAAAATCAAATTAGGACTTTATGACACAAAAACCTATTTGGTTCTTCTCCTCACCAAAATGTGAAGAGTAAATTGGTTAGAAGTGTTAACCTCATGTATAGCTATAGGATGTTAAAAAATTTTTTAATTTTATTAAATTCTTTTCAGTGTTGTCATTTTCTTTCTAGATTTCCTTATATTTTGGATTCTGGCTATATTATAATGAGTGATGCTTTGATGTCAGATGCCGTTGGTCGAAGAGTTGAAGTTAACGGAGAGCATGCAACAGTGCGTTTTTCTGGCGTTATTCCCCCTGTGGCAGGTAATTTATGGTTTTGTTTATGTTTGTATTTATGTTTGTGTAATATTCTAAACCTCTTGTTGTCATTTTAACAATGTTTCCAACATCTTCACCGGGAATAGTATCTATCTCAAGAAATCACTTTCTTTGTTCATCCATAAGAAATGACTCCTCATCTGCTTTAGTTTTATCATGAGCTTGTACCAATTCAACAAGATCTTCAAGCTCCACTTCTAATTCTAGTTCTCTTGCTGTTTCCACTGTATCTACAGCTATTTCCTGCACTGAAGTTTTGAGCCTCTCAAAATCACCCATGAGTGCTGAAATCAACTTCTTCTGTTAATGATCTTTTGACCTTCCTCCTAAATCACAAATATTCTTAATATCTAAAGTGGCATGAACAATCCTTTCCAGAAGGTTTTCAATTTGCTTTGCCTGAATCCATCAGAGGAATCAACTGTGGCAGCTATAGCCTTCAAAATGCATTTCTTGAACAATAAGACTTGAAATTTGAAATTACTTCTTGACCCATGGCTGCAGAATTGCTGTTATGTTAGCAGGTATAAAAACAACATTAATCTCCTACATCTCCATCAGAGCTCTTGGTGACTGGGTACATTGTCAATGACCAGTAATGTTTTGACAGGGTATCTTTTTTTTTTTGTGAGCAGCAAGTCTTGACAGTTGTAGGGTAAGTGAAAATTATCAGGATTTTCTGCCCCACTGCCATTAGCATTAATGATAGACCCCTGTGGTCCTACATGCATGCCCGATGGCGGGCCCCTGGAGTAGGGTGTGGGCATGCATAGGTGGGCACACCTGGGCTGAGAGACTGGACTTATAAGGGTGGCGTCACAGGGACGCCAGAGAGCAACAGAATGAGAGCAGCAAAGAGAGAGTAGCAGGAAGAAGAAAGAGAAATAGCAACAGCAAATGGCAGCAGAAGCAAAGAGCCTGCAGGAGAAGGCCAGAGGGCCCAGAAAGAGTGAAGATTTGCTGGTAATGACCAGGCCTCCCAGCCCCTCAGCCCCCCTGCCTGTCGTATACCTGGTTGCCACACTACAAATGATGTAAAAAGCTCAATAAAATCCTGAGAAAGCCACTAAGGGCTCCAGGACTCTTTTTTTCCCATCTGCCTGGATCATAGAGAACCTGCTCTCTGCCTTGCTAGCACTAAAACAGTGGACTTAAAATATTCCATAAACCATGTTGTAAATAGGTGTGCTATTATTCAGGCTTTGTTGTTCTATTTATAGAGCACAGGCAGAATTGATTTTTTTTTTTTAAAGATTTATTTATGCATACAAGAGCTGGGGTACAGGCCAGAGGTACAGGGGGTGAGAGGATTCACCAGAGACAGAGTGGGGAACAGAACAGGCAGACTGACTGAAACACACTGCTGAGGGGAGCAGTGGGCCAAACAGGAGAGGTCTGCGTGCCATGTGCGTAGCTCCCTGGCTGGCTATCGAACTCGTGCTGCAGAGGCTGTGGATAGCTTCACAGTGCAGTGCTTAACCCTTTGCGCCACTAGGGAGGCCCCAGGCAGAATAGATTTAACATAATTATTAAAAGATTCTAGGATTACAGAATGGTTAATGAGCATTTAACTTAAAGTCTGAAGCTGTGTTAGTCTCTCACAGAGAGGCAACCTATCCTTTGAAGCCAAACATTAAGTAAAGTTAAGTAACTGTAAAGTCCTTGATAGCATCTTCTTTCAATGTAAGAGTATATAATCAACATTGAAAGTCTGTTGTGTAGTGTAGCCACTTTCATCAGTGAGCTTAGCTAGATCTTCTGGATAACTTGCTGCAGCTTCTACATCAGCACTCACTACTTCACTTTGCACTTTCATGTTACGGAGACAGTTTCTTTAAATTTCATGATCCAGCTTCTGCTAGCTTCAGACATTTCTTTTGTAGCTTCCTTGCCTCTCTATTAGACTTGAAGAGAGTTAGGACCCTGCTTTGGTTTAGGCTTTAGCCTTTAGAATGTTGTGGCTGGTTTGATCTTATATCCAGACCACTAATATGTTCTCTAGGTCAACAATTATATTTCACTTTCTTATGATTTGTGTGTTCATTGGAGTAGCACTTTTCATTTCCTTCAAGAATTTTTCCTTTGAGAAATTAAACATTGTACAAAAATGAAAAACCATGTAAAAATATATAAATAAAAATAAAAGAAAATTCCTTTGTATTCACAACTTGGTTAAGAGGTTTAGCTTTGAGACAATCTCGTCTTTTATCATGGCACTCCCATTAAGCTTATTATTTCTAGCTTTTGATTTATTTATTTTTTTTTTTGTGGGACCCTCACCAGCGGCTGGGGAACGAACCAGCACTGCAAAGGCTGCGGGCAGCCTCACAGCCCAGCGCTCAGCTGCTGCACCACCCAGGGGAGGCCCTCTATCTAGCTTTTGATTTAAAGTGAGATGTGTTACTCTTCCTGTCACTTGAACACTTGGAGGCCATCGTAGGGTTGTTAATTGGTCTAATTCCAATATTGTTGTGTTTCAGGGAATAGGGAGGCCTGAGAAGAGGGAGAGAGAAGGGAATGGCTAGCCAGTGGACCAGTCAGAACATGCACAACATTTGTCAATTATGTTTATCATCCTATATTGGTGTGGTTCATGGTGCTACAAAATAATTACAATAGTAATGTTAAGGATCACTGATTACAATAGCAGACATAATTACAGTGGAAAATGTTGAAAATATTGTGAGAATTACCAAAATGTGACAGAGATCAAGTGACCGCCTGTTGCAAAAATGCCAGAGGTAGACTTGCTTGACACAGTGTGACCTCGGGGCCTCCCAGGTGGTCTAAGGGTTAAGTCTCAGCACTATTACCTCTATAGCCTGAATTTGATCCCTGGCCAGGAAACTAACCTACATATGGTGCAGCAGACCTCTCCTGTCTTGCCTACTGTTCCCCTTAGCAGTGTGCTTCAGTGGATCTGCCTATTCTGCTCTCCACTCTGTCTCTGGTGAATCTTCTCGCTTTCAACCATGCCTCTGGCCTACACCCCAGTTCTTTTTTTTTTTTTTTTTTTTTTTTTTATAGAGGCATGTTTTCTTTCTTTCTTTCTTTCTTTGTTTTTGTTTATACATGCACTGGGTACAGTCAGAAGCGCGGGAGGGTGAGAGAATTCACCAGAGCCAGAGCAGGGAGCAGAGCAGGCAGAAGGACCGAAGTACACTGCCGAGGGGAGCAGCGGGCGGCAGGAGAGGTCTGCGCGCCATGTGGGACCCTCCTCCGGTGGCCGGGGAGCAGCCGGGGATCGAACCGGCGCCGCAGAGGCTGCGGGCAGCTTCGCAACCCAGCGCTCAACCGCTGCGCCACCGTACACCCCAGTTCTTTTACACATACACACATATACACAAAAGTGTGGCTTCAAATCTTCAATTTGTAAAAAGCACATTATTTGTGACACAATGAAATGAGGTATACCTGCATTAATTATAGCCACCATGGTGTATGTTACAAATCCAGGACTTACTGTAAAATTGGAGGTTTGTACCTTTAGACACCTTCACCCATTTCACCCAGAAGCCTCCACCCTTATATCCCCCTAGCAAACATCAGTCGATTTTCTGTATCTATGAGTTTGGGTTTTTTTTTTTTTTGCAGGGAGGTTGTTTCTTTCTTTTAGATTCCACATAGAGGTGAGAGATGTAGTCTTTATCTTTCTCAGTCTGACTTCACTTAGCATAATTCCCTCAAGGTTTATCCATGTTATCCCAAATGGCAAGATTTTCTTCTCTTATTGTGGAATGATATTTCTGTGTGTATATGTATGTAATAGTCACATGTTGCATAATGACATTTTGACCAATGATGGACTGCTTATATGATGGTGGTCCCTATATTCAGCCTAGGTGTGTAATAAGCTATACCACCTAGGTTTGTAAACTCTGTTAGTAAACTCTGTTTGTACAACCTAACAACACATTTCTCAGAATGTATTTCCATTGTTAAGGGATGCATGTCTTTATATTACAACTTCTTTATTTGTTCATCTATCAATAGACACTTAGGTAGCTTCTGTGTCTTGGCTATTGTAATTAGTGCTACAGTGAACAAGGAGTTGCAGGTATCTTTACAGTTTAGTGCTTTCATTTCCTTCACATAAATACACAGAAGTAGAATTACTGGATGATATGGTAGTTCTATTTCTCATCTTTTTTTTTTAAGATTTTTTTAAAGATTTATTTATGCATATAGGAACTGGGGTGCAGGCCAGAGATGCCGGGGGAGGGGTGAGAGGATTCACCAGAGACAGAGTGGGGAGCAGAACAGGCAAATGTACTCAAAATACGCTGCTGAGGGTAACAGTGGGCGAGACGGGAGAGGTCTGCTGCGCCATGTGGGTCACCTCCCTGGCAGGGGATCAAACTCCTACTGCAGTGGCTGCAGATAGCATCATTGTACTGCTGCTTAACCCCTTGCGCCACCAAGGAGGGCCCTCTATTTCTCATCTTTTAAGTAGTCTTTGTAATGTTAAGCTGGCTGCACCAGCTTACATTCCCGCCAATAGTGCATAGGTCTCCCTTTTCCCCACATCTTCACCGACACTTGTTATGTTCTTGTCTTTTTGATACTAGTCATTCTAGTATCAAAGAATGTGAGAGTTAGGCGGCTCTGCCTGCCTGTGAGTGTGAAGGGGCCTCTTTTTCTTTCTCCTTTCCTAATATATCTTTCCTTTTAAAATTAAAAAAAAAAAAAAGGTGAGGTAATATCTCCTGTGGTTTTGGTTTGGATTTCTTTGATGACTAGTAATGTTGAGCACCTTCTCATGTACAAGTTGGTCTCTTACATGTCTTCTTTGGGAAAATGTCTATAATTCAGGTCTTCAGTTCATTTTTAAATATTTTGGGGGATGTATTAACCCCTTATCAGAGATGATTTTCAAATGTTTTCTCCTATTTGGTAGTTTGTCTTTTAATTGTTTTACTTGTATTCTTTAATGGTTATGTTTAATATCATGCATAATTTGTTTAATCATTCCCAAGTTTTAGACA